ACACAAATGGTCAGGCTCAATTATTCTTCTTCAGACACATTATTCAAAACCCCACTCTCTGGAAAAAGCTCTAATGCTAGGAAAGGTAGCAGAAAAGAGAGGAAGGGGACGAACAGCAGGAAAAGTGAATGAATTCAGTTATAGTAGGAATAGGTGCACCATTGGAAGGGCAGATCATTATGATGAAAGTCTGTCTATGTGGTCACTAAGAATCAAGAATAACTTGATGGCACATAAGACAATCAACCAATAATATAAGCAATAGATAGTTTTATCTGTTTTTATCAGCTTCAGAGAGATGGTAGCAGTACTTGTAATAATAGTCTCAGAACCCGAGAACACTTTCTTCTAGCCTTTTTCAAGAAGGCTGAATCTTTCATAGGAGATCAATTAGAATTTCTGTGTGATGATCTAAGCTGAAGAGAACTTACTCTAGAGTATGTGTGTATATTTCACTGTATACCCTGTTTTCCCCAAAATAAGACATCCCCTGATAGTAAGGCCAATCGGGCTTTGAGCGCATGGCAATAGGGCCAAGTGCTTATTTCAGGGTTCAAAAAAATATAAGACAGGGTTTTATTTTCAGGGAAACATGGTATGTGATATTAATTTTTTTTTCAATTACCAATAGAAAATACATACATGGTCAGCTAGAAAACTGACAGCCCATTTCGAGACCTGAGCACAGTAGGATAGCGTGAGTTCCTTTTCCTGTCCCAGCTCCTGCCTACGTAGCAGTTCAAAAGCATTCAAATGCAAGTAGATAAATAGATACCGCTTTGGTGGGAAGGTAATAGTGTTTTGTGGGCCTAGGCCAGTAGTGGGTTTCAAATCCCATCGCTACCCGTTCGCTTGTGGGTGGGTGTGCGCTTGCACACGCACATGATGCTTCTGTGCATGAGCAGAGACATCCAGATGGGTGGGCGGAGCCTCCCACCGCTGCAACTGGTTCGCCCAATCCAGGGCAACTGGTAGCAACCCACCGCTGGCCTAGCCATATAGTCATGATGGCCATGTGACCACAAAAATGTCTTCAGAGAATGCTGGCTCCCTTGCTTAAGAAATGGAGATGGGCACAAGGAACACAGGAAACCTTTAGCTTTACCTTATTTAAAATAAAATGTTATATTGTAAGCCTTTGATATATAGGTTGAGAGTTACAATGTAACTATAGAGAAAGAGATAAGTCTATAATTATACGTATAACTGTTGTAAAGATTGGAAGCCGCTTTTTCTATCTTTTTTTCCTTCCTTTCTTTTCTTTCATTGAGCCCTGGTGGTGCAGTGGTTAGAATGAAGTATTGCAGGCAAACTTTGTCCACAGCCTGGAGTTTGATCCTAATGGGCTCAAGGTAAACTCAGCCTTCCATCCTTCTGAGATTGGTAAAAGGTGGATCCAGATTATTGGGGACAATATGCTGACATTGTAAACTGCCCAGAGAGTGGTGTAAAACACTATGGAACAATATATAGAAGTCTCAATGCTGTTGCTATTAGTTGCTTTTCTTCTACCTTTTTTCTTTTTGCACTGTAGCTTTCTCTTTTATTTCTTCCTTTCCCCCCTTCTTACTTATTTTAGTTTCTGTTTATTTCTATTAACTTTTACTCTTCTTTTTGAAACTTTCAATAAATTATGTTTTTTAAAAAGATTGAATGATTGATTATGTGCTACAAATAATTTTCAATTCCTGGTGACCACATAGATTGATTTTGTAAGCCTTCGCCTATGTTTAAGAAAAGCTGATTTCTTTTTCTCATTCTTGGTCTAGAACTAAATGATGGCTGAATAAGTAAAGACCTTTGTATAGCACTGCACAATACGATGCGACTTTAATTTTAGCACAAACTAATGATTTCCACAGTCTATAACATTCCTACAACATATTTTATCTGGATGAGCACAAAGCTTAGCACCATCTGCTAATTCTTTTATCTTTCAGATACAGGCCTGGAAACAAACACAACAACATAATCAAATCTTTGAATTGGCTGGATCTCAAAACAGTAAAATTTGCACCAGGCTTTTGGTATTTATTTATACCTTCAGGTAAGCTTCTTTCTCTACACTGTTAATACACATTCACTATTTGCCAGATAATTGTTCAAAATCAAAGCCCAAAAGTCCATGAGCCTGAACTGAGCTAAACTGATTCTTTCCATGAACACCTCACAAGTGCCACAACAGAGAAGTCAGTCCAACTCAAGCAACTCAGGCATCAATAAACCAGAGTGGGGTGGGAATGGAGATTTTGCAGTATCCTTCCCCTGCCTACCAAGTCACACCACGCCCATCAAGCCATGCCCACAGAACCGGTATTAAAAAAATTTGGATTTCACCACTGGCTAGGACCTATTGGAGGTGCATGTTGAGAGCTTTGTTCCTGGACTTGTAGTGAATGGTGGGACTTTGGGGGGAAAGTTGGAGCAATATATGGGAGTTAAGCTTTTGTTCCGGCTGTGTTGCTTCCGTATCCAGCCCTGGGTCATCACAGTAGGCATCTTGAATTAGGCCTTTCATTTCCTTTTTTTAAAAAAAGAACCTGCATTTATGTCCACCATGATGGAATTAACGTGGTTGCTGGATGGAGGATGCTGAAATGTCTCCTATCCCAAATACCTTTGTGGATACTTACCCAAGCGAAGCCTGTTTAGCTTCAGCAAGAGGCTGCCTTGTGTGCAAACTTTATTAGTGCTGTTCATCAGTTTATACTTAAAACAGCTTTACTACCTTCACAGCAGCTCATTCACTTGCTTCCCACCTCTGAACCCATTTTGCAGAATGGATACATAATGAAATAGACTTAATGTTCATTCTCCTGACTTGGAACAATGCTCATCTGCTTGAACAGGTCAGGAGACCAAGTGGTGAAAACAAAAAGAGAAGCAGGAGTGGGTTCAGAGGACTCTGGAGGTTGGAGCAGTGGTGAAATGTAACATTTGTTACTACCAGTTCTGTGGGGGTGGCTTGATGGGGGGTGGGGTAATGTGACTGGGTGGACGTGGCCAACTTTTTTTTTTTTTACTTTTAAAAGCATTTTTTCGACAACCTTAAGAGGTTGCAGAAAATAATGCTTTTAGAAGCCTCTGAGAATCAGGCAACTCAGCTGGAATCGCCAGAGGCTTTTAAAGGCATTTTGTTTCCTACAACCTCTTTGGCCCACCAAGCCATGCCACACCCACCAAACCATACCCACAGAACCAGTAGTAAAAATTATTAAATCCCACAATTGTCCTCACCATTGTCAGACCCCAGGCACAGTGGCAGAGCTATGTCTTCAGGGCCTTCCTAAAGGCCAGGGGAGGAAAGCATCAGGGCCAATCTATGATTCAGGAAAATAATGTTCCATAGATGGGTACCATGGCAGTAAAGACTGTATTCCTGGGTTCACCAATTATACTCTTTCATACAGGATCAGTGAGATTCCTCTCCTGTCAGTTCTGATGTGGCAGGCTGAGGTAATTGAGGGGAGGTAATCCTTCAAACAACCAAATAATCAATCTATGATGTACCAAAAGTCAGGGTCCATAGGCCAATCACAATAATGTTTTATTAATTGTTTCTATTTCAGAGTAAATATTACCATATTTAGGGATATTCAAAGATCATGTGTCAAACAAAGTATTTAGAAGAAAATGGCAAACATTTAATCTAATTTATATAATAAATTGTCTATGAGGCCTGACTGTTGGTACATTCTGTATATTACTGTATGCAAACCTGTGCCTTCAAATAGAAGACTGTTCCCTGTCAGTGCTATAAAGGAGAACATATAACCACTCTTTGATCAGGTTTACTACGTGAATAAATAAGAAACATCTTGATCAATTAAGGAAAGCAGCACACAGACATGAAATAGTTTGCTGTTAAGCACCTGGGCTGATTTTCCATGTTATCAGGTAACATAAAAGAAGCAGAAAGTGTGCATGCCTTCCCTAGTGTCTCAGTTCAATTCCATGCATGTGAAAAGCAAATACATATTCCCAATACATTGAATTGTGACTGTAGCAATTTAGCAGAGTCGCCCATAGCATCTTCTCTGAGTACAGCTGGATATCAGAGGTGTACAGATAAAATATTCTTTATGAGAGATGCTGATGGTGGGAAGCAGGCATTTATCCAGGAAACTCTGAGATACAATGGTGCTTTAGGCTTTGTGGATATATTTATGGAATTTAAAGGTCAAGTAATAGTTTTCATTCCTCTATTTGCTGCAGATGATTTTACTGAACATTTTCATTATTCCTTTTGATATTTCCACACACTTTCTTCTGGGGGTGAGAGGGAGGGGTGAAGATGATTTCTATCTGTGCTTTGAGTTATAGGATGTAGAAAATGTGCAGTGAATATGTGATTACTGTAATAAGCCCTTTTACCTAACGTATATTTGGTCCAGTATTGAAGACACAAAAAGTGACCTGAATTTGTAAGGAAGCCTGGAATAAAAAAAAATCAAGGTCAAAGAAAATTCTCTAGATTCTGGCGCTTGTCTTTCTTATCATGCAGTTGAAAGCATCGCTAATTATGCTCATAAAGTTGACAAATTTCACAGTATCAGCCTCTGGTCCTTTTGTATCATTGTTGAAATTAAAAAGGGGGAGAAAGTATCAGTAGTAACTGACAGGTGTTTGTGATTAGAAATGCCTAAGTGACAATTAGGACTATGTCTGAAAGAAAACTAACAGTAAGACAAATGAAAATACAAATTATGTTTATGCATGTTTTCATTTTTTTCTCCTAGCCAATGCAAATTAGGAGCTGATGACTCTGATATTATACAGAATGTATATACAATAAAACTGGATTGATTCAGAGCTTTAGCAGCAACCAGATGTTCTGGAGAAGCAGCTTTTAGACAGAGATGGCCTTCCTTCATCCTACAAGGACGTTTCTTATCTGTAGTTCATAGTCAAAGATGTTCTGTTCCTCAACAGGACATTACCTGGTAGCTTGCAGCCAGTGCTCATTAGGGTTGGGAGGCAGTAAGATTAGTAGATCTTACCAAGGGCATCAACCTACACCTGAGGGAGAGGGTTAGGTTCTTGCATAACAACACCAAAGCTCCCTCTTCCATTTCAGTTTCCAGAAGTAACTTGCTACTTATTGTTCTCTTCATCTAGATCTTCCTTTAAAGAGGAATCAACCCTGTATGGAGAAAGAGATGAAAGTAAAAAAACCTTGGATAAAACTCAGTAAGCTCAGGCTTAAAATCTTCATTTTTTTATTTCTCCTTTTTAGCCTCATTGCCTCATCATTGGTTGAAGTCATGTCCTGGATCATGACATTGACTAGGACCTTGTTCCAAGCCAGACATCATGTAAGACAGGGGTGTCAAACTCAATTTCATTGAGGGCTGCATCAGGGTTATGTTTGACCTCGGGAGGCTGGGGTAGGCGTGGGCGTGGGTAGTGTGGCCAGATCGACGTCATTCATGTCGGGGGCACCTGTGGTGGTCCGAGTGCTCTGCCAGAGAAAATGGGCTCCCAAGCTACATTTTCACATGCCTCTCCTGAGCTCTGTTTTCACTGGCAGGAGGCCATGGCAGCTGACAATGGAGCTCTGGAGCCCATTTTCTCTGACAGAAGCACCTCAGGCTCGTCTTTCACTGTTTCTAGGGTGGCCCTGTGGGCCAGATCTAAGTATTCCATGGGCTGGATCCCTGGGCCTTGATGTAAGAGTAGAGATATATATGGTATAATATATACAGGAATGAGCAACTGGTCCCTCTTTTCCTGACTTTTAAATGCAAATGAAAACTGCCTGCTTTGATTTGAGATTCCACTCTGCTTTAGAGGAAATGTTGTCGATCTGATATTGGAAAACTACATAATGTAATACGTGTGATACAGTATATGCATCAGAACCAACCACACACCCAATGTGTGCTAAAAATGGTAAATGTAAATTTTAGTAAAATGTACACAGTAGTTTACGAGAATGCCTGTTTTAGTAAACTTACAGTACATATATTTGTACGTTTCTGTGGTGGTGAATAGCATAGGATCTGGATAGGATTTCTCCCATACTGTCCTTTCAGCTTTTCAAGAAAGAGTGTCTGAGAAATGAGACAGCCTGGCACACAGAACCTCTCTTGTTGCTCTGGGGATTTTCTGATTTCTCTTCAGGGAGAGTATGTCAATCCTATCTTGTCTGAACTGATTTTCCATTTGATCTCCTAGTTCTGCATTAACCAAGGGTACTCTATTATATACACTCTTCCAGCGACAAATTACTGTCCTGAAGGGGAGGACCAAATCCTGATACTAGCGGTTGGCAGACTGGAGCAGCTGCAAGAACCTAGGTGGGATGGATACTTATTGTGCTATCTCTGAAATAAGAAGTCAGGTTCTACTGGAAATCTCGAAACAGGACAAAAGCAGAATAGCATACGCTTTCACTCATGCTCCCAATATTTGAGATAGTGCTTCTGATCCTGAAGGTAGTAAGTAGTTATCCTGACAGTCTCTAGTAGTCTTATCCTTTACAAAATTGTCTAATAATGTTTTCAAGCTATCAAAATGGGGGTCCAGCCCATGTTGCTGGAATGCACAGTTACTTTTTTTAGAAGCATATTGTGACAGCAGCTCTGAGACCCTCCTCAATTCCCAGAGTCTCAGCAAAGCCATTGTGGCTAATGATGTAATTGGCAGCATTTTGCACAGTCTGATGCCCCCTCTAAGCTTTGAATATCCCTTCAGATTAATGGAATTTCCCGCCTTTGATGATTAATCTAGTGTGCTTCAGATGTGGTCAACTTTCAGCTTTCATCATTTCCCAGCCAGAATGTCCATTTACTTGGGAAGATCAGAGATCAACATATTTTTGAAATGCCAGCTTCAGGAAGATAACTATAAAGGTGTAATAACAGTTCTGTGCTCTTTGAATATGGGCAAGGAGTTTTCAGTAACTGCCTGAATAGTAAAAAACGTGAAATTATGATCAGGTACTAATTTATTAAAGCTTATTTGCTCTTTTTTTTTAAATGATCACATTCAAAAGGCATATCCTTCATTTCCAATGGTTTGTTTTTTTTTTTTGCCCTGACTTTCTATTTTAAATACATGTTATTAATTTATTTATAAGGCTTATATGGCCGCCCATCTTAAGCCACTCTGGGACAACAACAATAAAACCAATAATTAAAACAACAATAAAACAGTAAAAATACTGTAAAACAATAAAACAAAACCCCCATGCTTTAATTGCCCCTTAGGATTCAGTAGGCTCAGTTGTCCCCCTTCCATACTATTTACTTACACAATGGTATTCCAGTACTTTAAGGGAAAAAAACCAGGTCTCAATGGTCTTCTGAAAGGTTAGAAGGTAGGGGATTGTCAAATCATCAATGAGAGAGTATTACACAAGCTAGACACAGCCAGGGAAAAGGCACCCCTCCGAGGTCTAACTAGATGGCAAGATTTCAGAGAGGGACTGGAATATGTCCACCCTATTTGAGCTAGTGGGATGGACAAATATTCTTAGGAGAGGCAATCCCCGAAGTAACCAGGTACTGTGCCATATAGGGCTTGAAAGTTGATAACCAACACCTTGAATTGCACCCAGAAGAAAAGTGAGAGCCAATGTAGCCTACACAATAAAAGGCATAACATGGGTAAACTTATGGGCACCCAATGCTCTGTGTGGTGCTACATTCTAGACCAGCTGTAACTTCTGAGTGGTCTTCAAGGGCAGCCCCATATCAATCACTTTGCAATAAACCAACTGGGAGGTGATTAAAGCATGAGTGATTGTGAGTAAGGCCTCCAGGTACAGAAAAGGGAGCAATTGGTGTTCAAGTTGGATCTGGGCAAAGGCCCCCTGGTTACAGTTACATCTTCTCATTAAGCAGAAGCTGTGAGTCCAGGAGAACCCCCAAATTTTGCACCAGCTTGGTCAGCATCCAGAGTCAAAGGTAACAACTCATCAGACTTGGGGTGGGGAGGGGAAGGCAAAAATCCAGAACCATTCTGTGTTGCCAGGGTTGAGCCAAAGTTGGTTCATCCCCATCCAGACCCTTACAGCCTCCAGGCTTTTGGGTAGCACTACAACAGCACCTGTGCTGCCAGGGGTAGAGATGTATAGGTAGGTATCATTAGGGTACTGATGATACCATACCCATGCCATCAGATCACACCAGTTTCTTGTAGATGTTTAAAAAGAGAGGGAATAGACTAGAGGTGGTATTCAGCAGGTTCTGACCAGTTCTGGAGAACCAGTAGCAGAAATTTTGAGTAGTTCGGAGAACTAGTAAATACCACCTCTGACTGGCCCCACCCCCATCTATTCTTTGCCTCCCAAGTCCCAGCTGATCAGGAGGAAATGGAGATTTTACAGTATCCTTCCCCTGGTGTGGGGTGGGAATATAGATTTTACAGTATCCTTCCCCTGTCACGCCCACCAAGCCACACCCACCAAGCCATGCCACACCCACGAAGCCACGCTCACAGAACCAGTAGTAAAAAATTTTGAATCATACCACTGGAATAGATCTGACTCACAATGAAAAATGTGACTAAAATTAAAGCAGATCAAACTAATGATAATAGGTAGACCAATCTGCCTTAGAATTTACAGTAAAGATGTTGAAGGGGTAGATAACTTCTGCCTTTAGTGCCATCAAGAATAAAAGAAGAAGCAGACAAGCAGTGGTAGAGCAGCCATGAAAGCCTTGGAAAATATATTTAAATGTAGTGATATCTCTATACCTACAAAAATCTTGGTGACACTATATGGAAGTGAAAGTTGTGAGGGTTTTTTTCTCCACTTATTGAGTCCTTCCCAAGAACCTGGGATAGGCAGATATTGATGTTTGATGGTGTTAAAGGTATCATTACAGGATGTAAGCTGTTCCAAGTAAAGCTGCCTTTTCCAATTGACCGATGTGATTTTGTCAATGCCGGTGTTGTTCAAGTAGCGCTCCAATTATTATTACCAAATTATTATTCGCCATTCATCTCACAGTTTAAAGTGACTCTGAGTGGTTGTTAGACTTTGAAGAAACAGTATAGGAAGAATACTTTGTACTTTAGGATTGAAAAAGACTGCTGAAAATTCTGTGGACAGCCAGCCAGCCAAACAAACCAATGGATTATTGGACAAATCAGCTTAGTTTTTTTAAAACTTAAGTCACAAATGATCAGGCTCAAATTATCCACTTCAGACACATTATGTGAAGATCTCTCTCTCTCTCTCTCTCTCTCTCTCTCTCTCTCTCTCTCTCTCTCTCTCTCTCTCTCTCTCTCTCTCTCTCTCTCTGAAAAGTAGAAGGAAAGAAAAAGAAGACAATGATCAACAACAATATGGATGCACTCAGTTTCAGTAGTGATAAATGCCCCCTTGGAAGGTCTGAAAGACCAGGTCAGGGACAGGTTGTCATGGAGAAAATGTATTTAAGTGTCACTAAGAATGGGCAATGACTTGATGGAATATAATTAATCAGAAAGCAGTGCTTTCTGAGGACAATTGATTGAGTTGACTGGCAATCAAAAATCTTTTTAAAAGGTTGCTGGAAGTGACAATAGTCCTGCAAAAAGTGGAATGATGAAAAGCCACATGGTGCCAATGGTGGGTACTCAACTGAGGACATAACAAGATTCCTGGGCACAGGCCATGAGCATCATCACAAGTGATGATGATGAGTGGCAACCTGTCTATGGAAAAATGTCCTTGCCCATCCTTAGCTGTCACTGTCTCATAATTAAACCTGCTGAGAATCAAGATCTCCTCTAAAAAGAGGCCAAGCTAATTTACAATTCAGATCCTTTTTCAAAAGGAAAAGTTAGCTCACCTGTTGGCATGCTGTTTCTTGCCAGTTTTTTTTATGAATTTTAAACTATAGGTGTATGTATCTCTGTGTCTATGTGTTCCAATTAAGGCATAACTATTTTAAAACTGAGCCAAAGATGCACTGTAATGGTCTGTAGCCGAATAAACAGCAGAGAAACTGGATTCGGCCATCATTCCCAAGTCTTCCCCACCCCCCTTATAAACAGGGGGCTGAAAAACGAGAAGCAGTGCCAATCTTCTGATTGTTGTTTTATGTAGATTCCAACCAAGCCAGGAACAAAACCCCCATAGAGATCTGCCTCTTCTCCAGTATATTGATATATAGCAAGAGATATCTGTATTGGCTTCCCTGGAAAAGCCTGATTAGCACTGGGGCATAGATAAATTGCACATAGAAAACTGTTCTCTAAGCAACCTAACGTAAAGGAGATAAAACAATTAGATTAAAGTTAAAAAGGGGACCCTTTCTAAAACCTTTTGCGATTGTGTCGGTATGACGTAGAAAGAATCCTCTAAGTAAATGTATTTCAGAATTTTAAAATCAGCAGCATCTCATTAACTTAAACATCTGTCACCCTAATTATAAATGAATTATGCATGAAAGTCACCAATTATGCATTTTAGGTGGGGGGAAGTGAACATTGCTACTTTTTGCTGGTTTATTGCC